TTTATTTATTTTTTTGAAACAGAGTCTTGCTCTGTTGCTCAGACTAGAGTGCTGTGGCGTCAGCCTAGCTCACAGCAACCTCAAACTCCTGGGCTCAAGCAATCCTTCTGCCTCAGCTTTCCAAGTAGCTGGGACTACAGGCATGCGCCACCATGCCCGGCTAATTTTTTCTATTTTAGTTGCCTGGCTAATTTCTTTCTAATTTTAGTAGAGATGGGATCTTGCTCTTGCTGAGGCTGGTCTCAAACTCCTGACCTCAGGCTATCCTCCCACCTTGGCTTCCCTGAGTGCAGGATTACAGGCATGAGCCAGCACACCCAGCCCTTTTTAAACCTTTTGATGCAAGTATTCAGGTATTGTTCTAGGCAAGTTACATGTTATTTTACATTAATCCTTACAACAACTCTGTTAGGGACTTATTATTGTCCCCATTTTACAGATGTGAAAAGCAAGGCTAAGAAAGGTTAAATAACTCCATCAAGACCAATTCTGGTGCTACAGGACAGGACTAGGCTATTTGAACTCAAGTAACTCTGGCTTCAAAGCCCATTTTCTTCCATTTTACCATACTGCTGTCTGATCAGATTAGACCGTGTTTTTTGATCTGTAGATCTGAGTAAAAAGCCCAAATTTCCATCAGTGGAAAGTGCTCTTTATTTTCTTTTATGGCTAGCTTATTGTAAAATTACTGATTTTGTTGTTGTTGTTATATGTTAGACTTTTAAGTTGTGAAATGTCAAGAGTCCTGAATTTACTGGCTAGATTGTTAAACCCTAAATAAATAAGGACAGAGGCTAGCTGACCGATCTCCTGCCTATTCTGTTTATATAAGTGGATGTTTCTGACAGAGACAATTTCAGTGACTGAAAAGTTTATGGAAGGTTTGTTACTAAACTTAGCATCATTTTCAGAAAGGAAAAATCCTAATAGTTTGGAACAAGACTGAAAAAGAAATTAACTCTAAAGGGTAGATGAGCTTTAAATATTAAATTAATTAGAGGCCAGGTGTGTATTTTCTATTCTTGGGATAGCCATGAGAGGTAAACTCCAGGACAGCTGCCCAGTGGTTTTTGCTGAACAGGCAGGCTGGGTCAGCATTCTGAGAAGGTAGTTTGGTTTGCTGAGTGAGTTTTGTGAGACTCAGCATCTTTCTTGACAAAATTGTTGTTCTTCTAAACCTTGTGCCTTTCCTTATTTCAGCCTTTTATACGCACTGAAACAGGAAGGAAAATGAATAGGTTGATTTTACTATATAAACTTAGGTATATATTTTTTTAGATTGGACTGATCACACAGGGCTCTAAGTGAGGCAGCACAGAACAGGAAAAAAGTAGATAGAATCCTGAGAGGTTAATTGAAGTGACTGGGGAGAACAAAGGAAGTTAGGTCAGATCATGAGATTTTAGAGATGTAATAACCTTGCCTTTAAAAAAAACCAAGTGATAGAGCAAACTAGTGTATATGAAGATTAATACTGTTTAATTCCCAAAGTAATAAAACTTGTCATAAGGGAAAATTAAGTTGACTAATTTGAGGATATGGGGAGAAATTGGATATAAATGTAAAGGAATTATCTTGAGTCACAACTGTTTTTGAGTCTCTATTTGCAAATTAAGGGAATGCATTTTGTGAAGTTTCTTTTAACAGAATCCCCATGAAGTTTAAATAGGACAAAGAGTACAGTTCAGGTGACTTTGACTGTTTTGTATACATGCTTGGTTAGGTGAGGAAATTGGACTGTTTAGCTTAAAAAGCATTGTTTCCTCCTCAGCTTTACCCTTTTTCCCATGTGCTTTCCTGAAGCTATGTGTGGGATTCTAGTGTAGAGGAAGGGTAGGTCTTCTCACCTGTTTCCATTTTTCCCCCCTGCCATAAGTTCACAAACAGTTTTTCACATGAGGATCTGTGAAAACATAAACAACTTTTTTGGAACCAAATTAATCTTTTGACTTTATGGTTCATACTGCGTGTCACTGGAGTGGGGGCCGGAGGGTGGAGATACAAGGTGTTTGGACCCTTCTGGTTTATGGGATTGTCTTTTTCCCTTTTTCCCCTTAGGAACGGCGTGAATGTTGAGGGGGCGACACACAAGCAGGTGGTGGACCTGATCCGAGCAGGCGAGAAGGAATTGATCTTGACAGTGTTATCTGTACCTCCTCATGAGGCAGATAACCTAGATCCCAGTGACGACTCGTTGGGACAATCATTTTATGATTACACAGAAAAGCAAGCAGTGCCCATATCGGTCCCCACATACAAACATGTGGAGCAGAATGGTGAGAAGTTTGTGGTGAGTGTCAGCCCAACTCGGTCCTCAAACATCTAGCTTTGTTTCCGTCAGTCTTATCATTATGAAAATATAGCAGTAGAATAAAAGACTACAACCTCTGTCAGTTTGTCTACCAGGAAAATGGTTTCACACATAAATAAAAGACAGTGACCCTGATTTATTACAGTTGATGAACTACAGTGATAAAGAAGAGTCCTATTTCTGCTTAACTATAATTCCATTTTATTTCCAGGCAGTTTCAAATTTGCATTCTGGTCGGTTGTAAACATGTGAGTTTTTGTTTGTTTAGTTTCTTTTCTGTTTGTTCTTTTATTGGTTGCCATATCTCTTTGCTAGTAGCAATCTCTCATTTACTGTTGATTCTGTGGTGCTATAGAGCAAGATTAACTTAAAAATAATTTGGGTAATGCAAATTATGTCTTCCAAAATAATTTGGGTAACACAGAGGTTCATCCATCCCAGAACCTGTGTGTCCCTACACTCCTTTCCACATCTTGTTCGTTTTCTTTTTCTTTGGAGATATCTATGTGGTTAACTCTGGTTTTTCCCAAGGTCCTAATTATACTCTGAATACAATTCCAATGAGCTATTTCATCCATTTCCAATCTATTGATGTTGTAGAAATGCAGGAAATCCCATCTTGAATTCCAGGAGATTCACGTGCTAGCCCCTTCTCTGACTGCCTTTGTTCTTCAAAACCTAATTGCCACTGATAGCCCAATCTACTTAATTTTTCTCTTGGTTGCAGTATGCTTTATTTGCCTTTGATTATTTTGGGAATGTTGATATAATGAGAAATGTTTGCTATACTTAGTAGGAAATGTAGCGGGTTCTGTTAGACGTTGGTAATCAGACTACAGGTGTTTAAAACTGACCTGCTGACTAAAGTTGCAGTCTCTCAAACTGGGATTTATCCCCTGCATATGAACGAGCTACTAAACATTTATGATAAATTCTTTTTAGTGAGGAGATGAGAAAAGCAAGGAAGCTAGAAAAGTTGCAGAGGATCAAATAATATTTGCAACTGCATCTGTAATTTAGCTGGAGATGATAACACATAGGTTTTACACCAACATGGCCTCTGTATTCTTGGAACCACGCACAAAATTTAGAGTTTTATGCTTCAAAAGTGCTAACTTTGAATCATAAGGCATGCAAGAAGTTGAAATCAAGGTCAGGTCCCTCAAAGTAGAGCAGATGGGATGTTGAAACCATCTGGGAATTATCTAAAACCTTGGGAACTTGAGAAAAAGAATGAAACTATTAATTGTCCTTTTTAAAAAAATCAATTTTATTGAGTATAATTTACCTACATCAACATTCACCCACATTAAGTGTCCACTTTTGTGAGTTTTAACAAATGTTCATAGTCCTATCACCACCACCACCACCATGAAGATATAGAACATTTTCATCACCCCAGAAAGTTCCTTCATGTCCCTTTGCAGTCAGTCCTCTTTCCCTCCCACTGCCCTTGTCAACCACGGATCAGCTTTCTGTCACCATGTTGTGCCTTTTCTGGAATGTCAAATAAATGGAATCATACAGTATGTACTCTTGTGTCTGCCTTTGTTCAGTTAGTATAGTCCTTTTAATATTGATACACATTGTTGCATATATCAATAATTTGTTTCTTTTTATTGCTGAGTAGTAGTCCATTGTAGGGATTTACTACAGTTTGTTTATTTACTCATTGTTGATGCTTTGGGTTGTTTCCACCTTGGGGCTGTTATAACTAAAGCTTCCATGAAATAATATTAACATACAGGTCTTTTTGTAGACCTATGTTTTCATTTCTCTTGAGTACATATCAAGAAGTAGAATTGCAGGGTCTTGTGGTAAGTGTAAATTTAATCATATAAGAAACTACTAAACTATTTTCCAAAGCGGCTATACCATTTTTGCATTCTCATCTGCAGTGGAGAGTTCCAGTGGCTCCATAACTCTTGAATGTTTGATTTTTTTCAGTCTTTGTAATTCTAGTCATTTTCTTGTGTGTATAGTGGTATCTCACTCTGGTTTTAATTTGCATTTACCCAATGATTTGTGATGATGAGCTGATTTTTGTGTGCTTAGTGACCATTCATGTATCTTCATCGGTGAAGCATCTGTTCAACCCTTCTGCCCATTTAAAAAATTGGGTTGTTTGTCTTATTATTTTGTTGTAAGGGTTCTTTATATATTTTTATATAAGTCCTTTATCAGATAGATGTTTTGTAAATATTTCTCCCAGTTTGTCGTTTGCCTTTTCTTTTTTTAAAGTATCTTTTAAAGAATAGAAGTTTTAAATTTTGATTAAGTTCAGTTTATCAGTTTTTAAATTTATGGATAATGCTTTTTTGTGTTCTAAGAAATCTACCTAACCCAAGGATACAAACCTTTTATGTTTTCTTATAGAAGTTTTATAGTTTTAGCTCTTTTTTGTAATAACTAAGGTATGATTTATATTCCACAAATTCACCCATATAAAGTGTACAATTTAGTTGTTTTTAGTGTGTTCACAGAATTCTACACTCATTACCACAATCAATTTTAGAACATTTTCATACCTCCAAAATAACCCAGTAATACTGTGTAGCCATCATTCCCCAGATCTCCCATCCCCTCCAGCCCTAGGCAACTGCTAATCTACTTTCTATCTTATAGATTTACCTATTCTGAACATTTCATATAAATGGAATCATATTTTGTGACTGGCTTCTTTCACATAGCACAATATTTTCAAGGCTTGTCCATGTTGTAGCATGCATCAAGACATCATTTTTATTGGCAAATGACATTCCACTGTATGGATATACCACTTTTTATTTATTCATCTTCAATTGATATTTGGTCTGTTTCCACTTTGGGGCTATTATGAATAGTGCTGTTATGAACATTTGTTTACATGTTTTTGTGTAAACAGATGTTTTCATTTTTCTTGGGTATATACCTAGGAATGGAATCGCAGGGTTATATGGTAATTCTTTATGTTTAACCTTTTGAGGAACTGCCAAACTGCTTTCTAAAGTGACTGTACCATAGTTTTCATTGTTCATACTTTAGGTCTGTGATCCATTTTGAGGTTTTATTTATTTATTTTTTTTTAATTGTGTGATATAAGGGTCAAGAGTTTTTATTTGTTTGTTTGTTTTTCATATTGATATCCAGTTGTTTCAGCAGCCTGTGTTGAAGAGAATGGTCATTCCCCTTTGAAATACCTTGGCATCATTGTTGAAAATCAATTGACCATATAAGTGTGGTTCTATTTCTCAACTTTTTATTTGGTTCCATTGATTACATGTCTGAACATTTCAACATTTATGTCATTTTGGGGTTGGCTTCTGTTAAGTGTCTTCTCCCTTGAGAATGGGTCTTATCCTCCTTATAGTAATTTTGGATTGTATCTTGGATATTATGAACATTACATTGTATAGACTCTGGGTTCTGTAATATTCCTCTGAGTAGTATTGATGTTTTTGTTTTACCTGACAATAAGCTGTAAGCTGTGTCACCTTCTGTGGATTGTACCTCAAGTCTCAGTTCAGCTCTTTCAGCCTTTGCAGTGCTGCTTTGAGTCTGTATACATTGTTCAGAGAGGGCTTAGTCTGAGATACATGTGGTATTCATTGACAGAATTAAGGGATCCCCTTTTCTGGCTCTCTCTTGCTTAGGATTCTCCACTTACTCTGGTGGCAACCATGGTTGCCTGAAATCTTCTCCCTATATCTTTGAGTGAGACAGATATCAGGGTTTCTACTGGAGTTTTAGTTGCTTAAGTTGTCTTGTGACTGATGCCTACCAGCCTGCTTAAAAGCCCCTTAAAAGCAGGAATCCCCCATCCCACCCTGTGTAGATCATTGTTCCATGTTTTGATTCCCCCCACAATCTGCCTGCTTTTAGTGTATTGTTCAGAATCCTCAGACATAAAAACAAACAAATAATTTTTTTGTTCGTTTGGGTTTTTTTGTTTGTATTTTGTCAATTTGTAGTTGTTTTATCAGTGGGAGGGTTGATCTACAGGGAGTTTATGCAACAATACCTGAAGCAGAATCCTCAGTTCTATCAGGTTTTCTTTATGTATATTGTAGTTGTTTTGTCTTCTTGATGAATTAACCCCTTTAACATTATGAAATATCTCTTTTTATCCCTGGTGATAATCTGTATTCTGATGTCTTTCTCTGCTATTAACATATATAGCTACTAATAGGCACTTCAGTTTTATTTTGGTTATTGTTTTCAATGTATATCTTTTACATCCTTTTACTTTTAACCTATTTATATTTTTATAATTAAAGTGGGTTTCTTTCTTTTTTTTTTTTTTGAGACAAAGTCTCACTTTGTTGCCCAGGCTAGTGTACGTGCCATGGCATTGCAGCTTAGCTCACAGCAACCTCAATCTCCTGGGCTCAAGCAATCCTCCCGCCCGAGCCTCCTGAGTAGCTGGGACTACAGGCATGTGCCACCATGCCCTGCTAATTTTTTGTATGTATATTTTTAGTTGGTCAATTAATTCCTTTCTATTTTTAGTAGAGATGGGGTCTCGCTCAGGCTGGTTTGGAACTCCTGACCTTGAGCAATCCGCCCACTTCGGCCTCCCAGAGTGCTAGGATTAAAGCGTGAGCCACCACGCCCAGCCTAAAGTGGGTTTCTTATAGATACCTTATAGTTGGGTCTTGCTTTTTTATCTAGTCTGTCAGTCTTTTTTATTTGGAGTGTGTAGGCTGTTACCTTTAGTGTAATTATTGATATAGTTAGGTTAAATCTTATCATATTTTTCTTTGTTATCTGTGTCTCATCTGCTCTTTATTTCTTTTTTCCTCCTTTCCTGCTTTTTTTTTTTGATTAATAGGTCTTTATAAATGATTTCATTTTATCTCCACTATTGCTTTATTAGATATAATTTGTTGTTTTATTTTCTTAGTAGTCACTCTAGGTTTACAGTCTACATCTTTAATTTATAAGCATATATCTTCAAGTAATTATATATTACTTCATTTATAGTATAAGACTCTTCTTAC